GCCTGAGCTAAACAGCAAAACTCCTGCTCCTGGGTTGGCTTTATTCGCCTGACAGCTCAATGGTCGAAAGTTTTGTGTTTTGAAGCTTGCTTCCTCCAAGCTGTGGGTTGGAAATCTCCTCCTTTCTCTTTTAGAGGAAAAGGGAGGTTCTTCTGCAGCACAGCACACAGCGGCTCCTCTCCTTTCGGACACCACTGGGCGCCTCATCCCTGCACCTCTGCCCAAGATGCAGGTGTTTTTTGACTGCCAAGGCACCTGCCTCTCCCTGCCAGCCTCTGCTAGCCCTTGGCTACTTGGCACCTCAGGGCATCGTGGCCTGGCGCCCTGTGCAAGGTTGCCCATGGGCAGGGGCGGCATTTGCTTGGCACGTACGAAGTTGGCACGTGCCTGCTTCCTGCCGCTTTGGGAGAGCCACGCTCCAAACCGGGTCAGCTCCCTGCTCTCCTGAGGCTGCCCACCGAGAGGAGTAATGCCGAGAGGTGGATGCTCAGCATCTCTCACAGGCAGTCATCGGAGTAGAGAAACATCGGTCTGCCTGCTTTTTTTTTTGGAGGGGCGGAGGGTGATAGAGGCTGGGATGTGCAAACTGGGGTTTTCCCCTCCTGCACATGCTGCTGTGTTTGGGCCGGCGACTTTCCTCCATGCTCCCTTTTAGATGCTGCACTGCTCCGCAAAGAAGCGAGATTTTTTTTTTTTTTTCTTTTTGCTGTCCAAATCCAAATTTTGCAGACTGGGCCATCTGTCAATTCCCTCCTACGTTGTTCTGTTCATATTAAATTGTAATGAAGGCCAGACTGAAGAAGGAATTAGGTCAGACAGGAGGTTTAGTCTCCGTTTTTGGGGAGATGTTTGTTGCCCAAGAGAGGCACCGTGGTTTGGTTGGCTCAGCACAAGTCTGGATGCAAGGGATGCCTGGGCTGTCTTCCGAGATTTGGCAAGCGGGCCTGTTAGCACATTGTGGCCTCTTGGCCCCCAACTTCCCAGCAGCTGGACAGAAATCGCCAATCCAGCTGATTCTGCAGCAAATCCTGAAAAAATCCTTTATCGGCCTCAGGCGGGAGGGTGGCTCCGTTGCAGACCTGCCCTCGGGCTCGCTGCCGGCACGCCACAGCCACTCCGAGAGGACCCTCTCGCGTTGGCGCATCCTCGCTGTCTGGAGGCTGCCGAGAGGTGTTTGGGGGTCCCTGGCCATGGGGGCAGCAGCGTGTGGTGCGAGGGGGGAACACGCAGGAGTCCCAAGGCAGCAGCAGTGTCCTGCGTGCGGCAGCTCTCCAGCGGCAGCCTGGCTCCACGCAGGGACCTGGGGATGCGGGGGAAGGCGAGAGAGGAATGTGAAGGACAGATAGCAAAGCAGACCCTCTCTGGGCAAGGAGAGGCCAGCGGCATGCTCTGATGGCTTGTCCTAGCCTCTCCTGCACCAAGAAGGCTGCTCTCCAACATGGATTATTCAGAGGAGCTTCAGGTGCAATTCCCAGGATGGTAGAGGGCACCTGCGCAGCCAAGGAGTTCCTCTTGTATCACCCTCTTGCACACTGCGTGGGGTCCGAGGCCTCGTGAGGAGGAATTTGGCGCTCGGGTTGTTGGGGACCCAGCATGCCTCGCGCTGCTGTTCCCACCGCCCCTGGTTAAAACGGCATCCTGAAGCATTTGAGCTCCCCGTGGGCACGTGAAGGGGAATGGCAGCTGGCGCGGCTGATTCAACCCGCTTTGGCAAGAATGAGACTTTGGTGGGCGTAGCCTTTCTACTAACAGAGACGGGACCTTGTCCTTTAGGAAAGTGCCCTGCTTACCTCTTGCTGCTTTATCCCTGTCACATCTCACGTGAGAGAGGCTTTCTAATAAAAACTGAAGGTTTTTCCAGCCATCAGTGTGAATTTACTCCTGTCCTACAGCTGAGGAGGCTGTTCATGTCCTAATGCTTGGACTAAAAACCAAAAGCAGTGCTGTCAAATGTTTCCGGCGGAGAATGAAGTCTCAGAGGGGTTCACAGGGCTTCAACTCACGATGCTGAGCAGGATTTGGCCATGACAACTGAAGCCACATGGAATCTGTGCAGCTGGCATGGTGCTTGTACGGGGTCATGGGCTGTGGGCTCCCAGCCATGCCATGCTGCCCCATTTTGGGGAGCAGTGCCTGCTCCGTCAGCCACGGTGGGGTGGGTGTGATCTCTCCTGCATGGGAGGAGTGGGAGAGGGGAAATGATCAACTGAAAGGTCATTGGGACGCATTGAGCTGGTGGTGGCACCCTGGGAGCCTGTCTAGCCTTTGGGTGAAGCCTGGGGGCTTTTCCTCCGCAGGGTCAGTAGGGCCAAAGCGAGAGGGAAGGGCTTACGGGGTTGGGTTGGGTTGCGGCTCTGACAAGCTGGAGAGAAACTGCAGCACTGGGTAGTAAATAAAGATGCTTTTTGCTTTGCTGCCCGGTTTCTCATTACAGGGCTGCTGGAGGGAGCAGGGAGACGCCAAGGTGACAGCAGTGGAAAGGGCTGGTGGTTGACGAGTGGGCAAAGGGGAACCTCATTGCATTGCACACTGCCATATCAGCCCGGCTCTCGATGACAGCGTTGGGGCTGTCCCTGTCCTCACGGCTTCAGGGGGGCTTCCTGGCCAGAGTGACGGGGTGCGTGGGCACCCTAAAAGAGCTCGCAGTGGAGGCAGGGAAGGCTGCCAGGGGCCTCCTTGTGTTTGCGGTGCAGGTTGCGCAGGAGCGGGTATTTTCTGAGGAGCACCAGGTTTTTTCCACAGAAGGTATCAGGTCTCCCCAGCATCAGATATCGCCCCGCTGGCAAAACCTCACTCTCCACTTGCTTCAGAGCATCTCAACCCTTTCTTTAGACTGAGTGTGGAGCAAAAACTGCGTTTGTCACCTGTGCCGCCAAGCAAGCCCCTTCGGGGGGCCAGCTCTGCCTTGGGGGAGGCTGGCACGCAGCACGGCATTAGCTGCAGTGCTCGCCAGCATGAGCCTAATTGGGGACGGGGGATTTTTTTGGGTGTCCTGAAGTCCCACGTCAGCGGCTTCAGTGGCGGCACTGGCTGGCACGCATCTGCCACTCTGGCAATGAGCTGCTGGTGCTACCTTCACCCCCGGGGACCCCAGCAATCAGGAGCTGCATGCAGAAAAGGGGAAAAAGGAAAAAAAAAAAAAAAAAAGGAAAAAGATAGCAGGATCATTCGGTCTCTCTGCCAGTTGGAGATCTGGCTGCCGGTGATGCCTCACCAGGGCTGTGACTCAAGCAGTGAAGGGGATGCTGCGGTTATGCCAGGGAGGCCCAGTAAACACCTGTTGGCCGCTTGATAAAAAAATCACAAGTGAAAAGGTGTTGGTGGCAAAACACTGCAGCTTGGCAGCGTGGTACAATCACGGCTCGATGCCATCCCCCTGCTCCTAGTGTAACACAGACCAAAGCCCTGTGCAGCATGCCGAAGGGATCAGTGCTACTGGAAGAGCTGGTCCCGGTCCCATCACTTGCTGGTCTGAGCCCAGTTTGTTCCCAGGGCTTCTGCCTCTCTTGTCCAGAGCCCTGGAGAGGTTTGGCCAGCCTTACTGGTCTCTGCCAGCACAGGCTAAGCCATAGGATCGGCATTGAAGCTGCTGCAGGGGGGATGCCCACCCAGACCTTGCAGCCTCTGTTTTGGCTTTTCTTGCTGCTGATCCCTGTCCTCCCGCTGCTCAGTAGAGCTTATAAGCACAGCGCATTTCTAGCAGCAATGATTTGAGCTACGTGCTAGTAAAAAATTGGTAGCAAGGGTGGCTTTATTGCTGGCAGGACCGTAGCAGGGCCCCGGGAGAGCTGGGCTAATTTCCTGGCTGCACTGCAGACTTCCCCCGTGACCTTGGGCGAGTCATTTAATCTATCCTGGGCTTCGCCTCCATCTCCGAGCATCCCAGGGGGGTGAGGTAATATTCATTAACTGATATTATTCTCGAGTTGCTCAGATGCTATGGTGATGAAGGCTGGATGTGAAACCCAGTGTCTTGGCTGAGTGTTAGCAGGGAGAGGGGATGCTCCTCTTGAGATTTAGCATTGCCCCACACCAGCTGCTATTTTGCCACACTTCCTCTCTTCATTTTGAGCTGACTGGTCTGGCTGTCATAGTTGTTTGACTGTATATACACAGTGATGCTCACTGTGGAGGGACTGTAATGCCTTCTGCTATCCATGGGTTTTGCCTCATGCAGTGAGGCAATAGCACCCTCACTTTACACCTGCAGAAGCAGCTGACACAGGGGTAAAGCTGTTTGCCAGAGCCGAGTCAGGGGAAATCTTTGGGATAGTTAGCAAATATCCGGGGAGTTTCTTTTTAAATCCTCTGCACCGGCTGATACCCCCTTGGTCCTCTTTGGTTATGCCTCAGGGGCGTTTCCCGTGAGACCGCTCTGCTCCTGAGGGATGTCTTCTCTGTCCCGGCTCTCATCAGCAAACACGGCTTGTGCAATCAGCTCCTCGATTGCCCGAGCGAGCCTCGGCCGTGTGAGTCTCTCACAGGCCTGGGGCGAAGGCTGCCGCTCCCTGGCAAACCCCAGCTTTCCTCAAAAGCAGCTCTAGGACAGGTTGAAATTTCATTTGTTTCTGCTTTGGGGGAACATGGGTTCAGGTAGGGCATGAAAACCTGTCATCAGAAATGAAAAAACCCTCACCTCCCGATAATCATTGGAATGATTTCCCATGTTAAAAGGGGGAAAAAATAAAAAAACCCACGCTGTTGAAAGAGCAGGGGGAATAAAAGCCTTTCAGAGGTAGGCTGAAGTGGGATTTTCCAATGGAAAAACTGCTTCAATGCAAACCTTGTCTGACCGGAGCGGCTGACCGGTGGGGCGAGCGCAGGGAGCCAGCCTCGCACCAGTGGCCGGCTCAGCGCTGCCGGTTCTTCCCCTGCAGCATCCTGACATGCCCGGGCATCAAACCCCAGGCGTGCTGTGGACGGTGGCGGGGGGCATTGCCTGGGGGAGGTGGCGGAGAGGGGTCTCTCACGCCGCGTTAACGCTGTGCCTCTGTCCCCAGGTGCAGAGGATGTGCGCGGCGAGGCGGATGCTGCTGCTGCTGCTGGCGTTCCTGGCCTACGCGCTGGATTCGGCTGCGGCGTACGGCACGGCGGAGACCCTCTGTGGCGGGGAGCTGGTGGACACGCTGCAGTTCGTCTGCGGGGACAGGGGCTTCTATTTCAGTAAGTGCTGGGCAGCTGCTGGCAGCGAGCAGGATGCTGCCCCCGCCCCGCGCCTTGCTTCGGTGGAGCTGGGCTGGGAGGGAAAGGAGGGGTTTCCCAGCCCGGGGCTTTTCGTGATTGCCTTGTGCATGGCCCGTAGGCCAGAAGAGGAGCGAGAAAAGCGATGGGCTCAGGGTGACATGCCCCCACCTCGTGCTGATTTTGGGGAGTGTCTAGTCCCATGGGAAAACTGGCTCCTGCGTTTGGTACGCGGGAAAGTCGAATATCGCTGGGGAGCCCTAGTGGTTGGCTCACCGGTGATGCGGGGAAGTCATTAAAATAACGAGGATGTCTGCAGCCAGCTCTCTGCTGAGCTTGGGCCCTGGCTTATTTTTAAGTCTTGCTGCCGAAGTGCTGCATCCTGAGAGCAGGCTGGGAGCTGAGCGCTCCCCCTTTCTGGGCAGGCTTTGCTTCTAGGCTGCTCCTGAAATATGCTTCATGGCCTCCTGGCTACCTGCTGGTGAACCTGTTGTTGCACGGTGGTGTCTTACCCTTTGGCAGCACAGTTTGTGCAAAAAAATGCAGCGTTGCTGTTGTCTACAGAGTGCAGGTGGCTTCAGGACAGTTTGCTGGACTGGGCTTTCCATCAGGATGCTTTGGGGGTTTGGACTATTGGCATTAGCTTAGCTGGTAAACGGGGAGGAGGAAGAGTAAACCATTAGTGGTGGATGCTCCGTAATCTATGGGCAAAGGTGCCTCGAGTGTGTCGCCTTACTCTTGTGTTTCGGTCCCCTGCTCTGCTTGGCAGAGGGAAAACCCCGTGTCTTGCTGCCCACAGAGGACTGAACCACAGAGTGACTGATGGCAGGAAAGATGCAAAGCCAAACAGGGGGGAAGAGGATGGAGATAACCACCTGCACGTGGTGCCATGCATTTGGCAGTCTTGCCTCTGCCTTGAGAAAAGGAATTAAAAAGTCACTTTATAGTAGCAGGTTGTTTTTTGGAGCAGTGGAGCCAAGAGCCAGCCTCCCTCTCATGCCAGCCTGCCTTTGGAGGGAATGGGGTGCTGCAAAGTTAGGAGATGACCCTGGATGTCCCTTCCCCACCTGGATGCTGAGCCAGACTTGGCCGATGCTGCCTGCTGAGGTTGGGCAGACAGGGGCACGGGGATCCCACCCCCAGCAGCAGCTGGGGTTCAGGCTGTGTGATTTTGGGCAGGTGGTTGGGCTGCAAGGGGCTTGGCAGCTAGCTGGGGGCGATCGCCCTGCCCCGGCTCAGCTGAGCAGCAGGATGTTTTCACAGCCCCCTGGGTGCTGCGGGCTGGCGTTGCTTGTGGGGACGCCCTGGGCGCGCTTCCTTCCTCTCGCCGAGCCGAGTGGTTGCCCGGCAGCTGCCCTTCCTCTTCTCATCTCCCCCTTCCACTTCTCCAGCCCCATGCTGGAGCTCGGCCGAGGCGGCAGGTCCGGGGCTGGCCTTACCGGCGCGCGAGGAGGCGAGCTCCTCTCCCGCTCTCACACCTCTTCCTCTCCCTCTATATATAGAGAAGCATCCGTCTCCCTCCCATGGTTTCTCTTCCCTCCTCCCCCTCTCTGGGGATGAAAGGGAATGGGGCTTTTGTTTTACGGACAAACTGACCTCCTTTCACCTCAAATAACCCAGCCGCCCAGGCCAAAATAAAAACATTTTTGAAGGCAGACAAGTCGCTTGGTGCCAAGTGGCCGGTCTGGTGCTTGCAAGGAGATTCTTGCCTTTTTTTTTTTCGGTCCTCTTCCATCCCCCCTTTTTTTTGAATATTTCTGGGGAGTGCAGGTGCCAGGGGATGAAGCAAAGTCCCCCCAGTCCCATATTTTAACTCCTTCAGCATTTGACCAGCCTGTGCCATGCAGGGCTGAAGATATTTGGTGATGGCTCTGCTTGATGAAGGGTTCGGACATCCCCATCTCACCTCGTTTTTTCCCTCTACCTCCATCAGTTGGCCTCATAAAGTGATTAATTCTCCTGGCCGGATTCATCTTCACTCCTAAACCCCCATGGCTACACTATCGTCACTGTATAGGCTTGATAGGGCACGGTTATGTCACACGATTGCGGGTTTATGTCTTAAAACCGGACCTCGGTTTGTCATGAGCGCTTCTCAGCGTGGGACTGCAACCTGATGAGCAGCCTGCGCTAATGCAATTGTTTGTATGGGAGTAAATGACTCGGACAGCCTTGTCCTGCAGGTACAGGTGGGCCCTGCTTGCTGGATGGGGCTTGTTGCCAGCATCTGACTGGTAATCTTGGAAGAAAAAAAAAAAAAAGGTATGAAAATCCAATACTGATTTTCTGCTGCAGCGGTGAGCAGAAGTACTTAAACGATGCTCCGCGTTCTGACAAGGGAGCGCTTAGCTTGCAAAGCGAGCTCTGAAATACCGCGCTGTTTGCACCTGTGCAAGGGGATGCAGTGTACTGACGTGTTTCATCTCCCTGACATTTGGTGGCAGGGAGATAGGCAACTAGACTAGGGAGGGGGCACCTCCTGATAACCAGCATGCCCGTCTGTCCGCTGGTGTGGGGAGCAAGTCCCAGCATTGTGGCTGGCAGGTGCTTGGGGCTGAGCATCTTCAAGCTGCCTCCGAGGGCTGGGGCTGCAAAGGAGCTGCAGCAACAGGGGCAGGAGCTGGCAGCACTGGGGTTAGCTGGCCCACGGGATGCAGGGTGGGCACGGTGATGTGCACCACGCCAGCCCCATGCTGCATCCGTGGGGTGCTTGGGCAAGCTGCAGCTGGAGCTATGCATGCTTTGCTCTCTGCCTCTGCCGTGATTCCTCCCCTCCATGACTTTTAAGGCTTTTGGGGCCGGCCTGCAGGTGCAGGCAAGGTGGTGGCTGGATCCATGGCTCTGGGACAGGGTCGAGGCCCCCTCCCCCTGCTCCCCAGTGCCCACCCTGGGGCAGCAGCATGGCCTGCGGAAGGATGCTGAGCACAGCCCCGAGTGAAAAAAGCGGAGCAGGTTGAGATGAAGCCCCAGCCACGAAGTTGCTGTCATGCAATGCTGGTAGGGAGGGGAGAAGGGGCTGCAGGGGGAGAGGCGTCGGACTTCTCTGTAAACAACAGCTCCTGTTTCCTCCTTTCCAACAGCTGATAAGAATTTAGCTCTTTGCAGCCGCTTGTGCTGACGGGGCACATTCTT